ACTGACATTGAAGTGGAGGTGGTGTCATTGCGCCACTTGGTGAATTTTACGATTGTGTTGTGATCATCCATAACTGAATGATTGTCTTTGAGCAAGGATAGCACTGTCATCTGAGTATTTAAGTTGTTATGCTTGCAGAGGGACTAAAGTTTAATAGCGTACTGTGGAACATTCCAGACAAAGCAATAACATCTCCACACAGTGCACCTTTAACATACTGGGTAGCTTGTTTGTGACTGGGATGGCATCTGTTTTAAAATCCTGATAAACCATGTGCGACTGGCTGGACGAGAGTGTCTAAATAAGATAAAGTCAAGAGAAAATACATAACTGAACACGACTCCTGCTCTGAAATCCAAATGTACAGCGCTCACACCTCCCGCATTGTTCCTAATTCCTCAGTGAAGATTGATTTCTTTTGCTGTGGATAAAGTCGTTTTCCCACTCACTCATTAGCTGCAAAACTCCACTCCAATTACGCGCGTGTCTCATGTCTGTATGAATACGTCTTACATAATCTGGAGTGTTTGTTGTGTCTTAAGTGTCCTTCGCGGCTACGCTACAACGCTCACGCTTCAAACGGGCTAACCTTCAGAGCTCGCAGCAGTGAGGCTCATTATCCTTTAGCGACAAAGGCTTTATCTTTATCTTCACTCGTTTGTACTTTATGTCGTCAACATTCTCAGTTACACGCTGCTTTTCCGATATGCCGCTATTCTGTGTTGGAAAAGTGGCGCGTCTAAATAGGCATGTCGTAATGAAGGGATGTTGGAATAGGTGGCCAACCCCAATATTCTCTCAGGGTGTAAGGCTAATTAGAGGCACTGCTCTGTTTGAAGATCTGTTACTCAAATTAGACTTTAATCTGAGTTTTGTTTTAACTCAATCTGGCAATAAAAAATGACTTCAATGAAACTACAACAGGTCACATCTGATTTTGTGCTATTAAACAAGTCCCTCTCACATAACATCACAGTCACAGGAGAGTTAGCTTTTTAATTTGTCACTCTCTCGCTTTTTGTTGAAAATCAAACTTCTAAGTAGGATTATAAATGCTTATATTGCCCACAAGCTCCTGACAACTCTATTTTGTGTTTTTTCTTCAAACTTTTTTGGCTGTGTTTGCCAATGTGTGCACTGTGTCACCATGATAACTGCTGAACATTCCTCCATATGTCTACATGTATCTACATCCCCCAGCGTGATGTCACTGCAAAGTATCAGTATTAGAGTGTGTATTATTTTGGTCTAGAGAGTTTGTAGGAAGAAAGATTTTTAAATTGTTTTCATGATCATGCGAGTCAGAATTTAAGAGTTGTAGTGTAATGCACAGAAAATTAATTAAAGTAATTCACATAGTGAAAATGTGAACCTGGGGACGGGCAAATGTTGAAATTTTATACAAATGGAGATGTCTTTGTTTTAAACTGTCAGTGATCAGTTTAAATGTCTTTAATGGAGAGGTCAGTAAAATCATGTGGAGAGTTCACCTTTGGAGGAAGAAATGGGACCATTTTCTGTTTAATGTTCTATAACCATTTCCATAACCATTGGTTCATGATGATTTATAATATTTATACTGAAAGCTGTTTCTTTTTTAATAATAAAGATAAATACATATAAATCAAAGTGACAATCATAGCTGTAACTTTTTAAACACTCCAATCAGAGTTTGATGTCAGACAGCAGATCAAGTAAAGGTCCTTTAAATTATAGAATAAAGTGGCTAATAATTATCACAGAGACAGACGGCCTGTAAAGGTATGCTTCAAAATTATAACGTTTATTTGGATGTTAAAATCAAAGACTGGGCATCCTTTTTAATAATTAACCACAGTGACCCTGTTTAACAAAGTTCAACATTATAATCACACATTTATGTAACAGTCACTTTCTAATCTGCTGCATTAATTCAGCTCATTGCAATGGTCCAATCTGCAGACAGACTTAATTATATCATATTATAAATATGAGTGACCCAGACACTGGGTCAAATAAAACATAATTTTGTTTTTGAAAAACTCATTTTATGGTGGTAGACCTGCTGTCAGGTGATAATGGCTCACGGATCCTGAACGTAAATGACTTAATTTGAAGAAAACATTGTCTGGATTATTCCCTTTCATACTCTATAATCTCCTCATCTTGTCGGTATGAAATGAATCAAAGTGCTGTTCCTCTGCTTCTTCACGTTCAACAGAATTATTCATTCAACACCTAACCATTCAAAGCAGTGTCAGAGTTCACAATAACATCCTCAAATTTGATAACATTATAATTTCAGATGGAGGGCACTGGCCTCTGTGACTCTACAGAAGATTTACTGTTTTTGAAAGAAATCTCAAAATTTCATTCACAAATATTGTTCTTTATTTGTTTGTGATTTGGTCCACAGACAAGTATCAGGAAGTGTGCAGTTAACACACTAGTTGTTAGCTTTACCATGATGGCAACAACTCACTGGCCTGTGAGAGTTGTGAAAAGATCTGACAAACTCATCACTGTGAATAATAACAATGCTGTGAATTCATAAGGAATATCTTTGGACCACTGCAAACTGTTTGAAATGATCTAGTTCTGTTTTGTTCACATTTTTCAATCTTGTACAGCACCTTCAGTGTGTCTACACCTGTGCTGGACTCCCAAACCCATGTCAGCGCCAGGATTCTCACTCTGTTTATCACTGAAACAATGAGCACAGACAGCTCTCTCACACACACACACACACGCACACACACACACACACACACACACTGGTGCTTTGGCTGGGCCTGGATTCTGACATGTAACTTAGCCTGGTGGTGTCGCCTGCTCCTTTGGAAGACAATTGATCAGTCTAATGCCGTAGTGTGCAACTTTCAAAACATTTAACTTCCATGGAGAAGCAGAAAAATCAACCTTTTTGTCATAAGCTTATCCAGTATAATTCACTTTGAACTTTGATGTAGCGCCATAATATTTTAGCCCCTTAATTGTTGTCTCTTGTTTATATCACAGTGTTGTATGTCGTCTGTAATGATTGTCTATTTTTTGTGTATGTTGTTGTTTTTAGTGTCTCCTGTGGAGCTTTTTGCACAGGTTTTTACAATGTGGTTTTTAACTACAAATGTCAAATAAACAGTGGTGGAAGAAGTACCCAATTTTGTTATTTAAGTAAAAATACAGATACTGGAACAAAAAATACTCAAGTAAAAGTATTCAACAGTAATCAACTTAAAAATGTTTCATGTGATAAATTGTAAGTATTAATGTACCTGTTTAAAAATGTACTTGAAGAGTAAAAAGTAAAAATATTTTGCACATATTTTGAGGTCTTTAAAGCTTCAAATGTAGTGATTTTGTTACAGATTGGTGCTGAATTTTGTTCAGGAAAAACAACTGAATCATTTTTCTAGCTATTTCTATTTGTTTATTTGTGTTTGCTCAAAGAGTGAAGCTTTTTCAGCTCAATAAAAACGCTCTTACTTTTCAGTCTCGTTCAAAAATGTAGTGGAGTAGAAAGTACAGACTCCTGCTCTCAAATGTGAAAAAAGTAAAAGTAAAAAGTATAGTACAGATATCTAAAATGTATACTTAAGTACAGTACTTTACTGCTTTTACTTTGTTATGTTCCACTATGTAAACTTTAATGCAGTGTTTCTCAAACTTTTTTTTCTGGGGACCCATATTTTAAAAGTCACAAATCTTTGTGACCCAAATCAATAGACTTTATTCAATCTATTAAATTTGTGACCATCACTGAATATTAATGAGGATATTTTATTGTTGACTGAGTGATCGTTTTTCTCTGAACATTTAGTATTACCATATTTTTCTGACTATAAGGCACATTGGATTATAAGGCACATTAAGCGAAACAAACAGACGACACTTGAGACTTGAGATTTTTTTATTTCCTACAAGGAGGACTCAAATACACATTGAGTAATAATGTGTTTAATGCAGCTTTGCCACATTTGTTTACGTTTTACAGAAACAAAACTTACAACCACATGGCTCATTTGCATAAAGTATAAGCGATTTTAAAAAAACAAACCAAGCAAAAAAAAAAACAAAACAGCTCTTTCCTTGTGTGCTGATGTGGTCAGCTTCTGTCAGACTAAAGGACACGACTCAGTGGAATACGAGTGAAAATCGGTTCGAGGTCAGTAAGCACAACCAGAATTAATACAGAAGGGCGCCAGATTATAAGTCGCACTGTCGATTTTTCAGAAAATTCAGGGATTTTAAGTGCGCTTTTTAGTCTGAAAAATACGGTTTTAAACAAAGATAAACAGTATTCAGTGTTTCCCACCGAAAATGTGTTAGGCAAAGCGATGCTGCCAAAAAACTTAGGAGCGAGGGTGTGTGTATATGTACATGTATATTGCAGACCTACATGCAGATCGTGACAAGGTGACCCCAAAAAAAATCTCTTGTGACCCATCTGAGGTTCGCGACCCAGTCTTTGGGAAACAATGCCTTAAAGTGTCCATGGGATGCTATTTTCTGATCTATGTTCTGATGTTGTTTCCTCATCACAAACAGGCCTGGAGTTATGTTTGGTTTCATTCACACATGTTTAACTCTGCATATTTAGGCTGACTTCTTCTCTCAAACAAAAAACACTCTGTTCCACCTTGTGACATCATCTATAATACAGGAGGTGCTCCACTCGCTTTCACTAGAATCATTTGGATGATTTTAGCCCTGGAATTGCTAATCTCTTCTGAACTAAAGGTAAAACGTAAGTTAACTTAAAAACTACCACTTCACGACATCACAAGATGGAACAGAGCATTTTAAGTTTGGAGATGTTGATTAATTAACAGTTACTCAAACATGTGTGAATGAAACAAAACACAACTCCAGCTATATTTTTGAGGAGGTAACAACATTATAACACGACTTTAAGCTCACAAAAGTCAATTTTGCATAATGTAGGACACCCAGACTTTTAACACTTCTAGTTCTGTTCCTAATTAGCAGGCACCTCATCCTCTGCTCTGTTCTTTTTGAAGGTGAAATTCGGTGAGGCTCCGGACCTGGACTCTCAGGAGCTTTTCGGGGTGATCTGTCAGTTTATCCACGACTTCAAGAGGGCTCACGCTGAAACTGTATGAGCCAAAGTTCAACTGTGGATTCAACCTGACGCACCCCAAAGACTGCGCTGGTATACGGACGCCTCATGTTTACAACAACAAGTCCGGCTAAGGGGCTCCAAGGTGAAAGTGGATCAACTACACAAATGCAATATTAATGTGCTTCAACTAGAGGATGAAAAATAATAACAGAAAATCTTCGTGTGTAACTATTGGCTTTGGAATCAGGGAGATACAGGTGACGCTATTTTATGACCTATGTTCTAATGTTGTTTCCTCATCACAAACAGATCTGGAGTTGTGTTTTGTTTGCTTCACACATGTTTAACACACAAACCCTGCATATTGAGGCTGAGTTCTTCTCTCAAATGTAAAACACTCTGTTCCACTTTGTAATGTCATGTGATAATACAGCAGTCCTTCTCAAATAGTTGGACACGTGCTGCAATGCCAGGGGGGAAGTCTGTGACCTTGAGGGACATGCTTTTTTTCCCCCCCGTACTAGAATAAAGTGTAATTGCACGTCCACTGCAGTAGTTGGCAGTGTCGCTCTCATTGTCAGAGTGTGTGCAGGGAGCATTAGCGCTATAGTGTCGGGTTTTTTGCACCGAGCAAATCCACACGGAGCACAGAGCAGGAAATATGAAGTGCAGTGAATAAACTGTATGTAAAGTGTATGTCGCGCTCGGCGTCACTGTGATGGCAGGAAACGAAGAAAGACCGCTGAGTTTACTGTGTCTAAAAATGCTGGCAGCGGACAGCATGAAGACAAATAAATTACGGCGTCGCTTAAAGACATTACTACGGAAGCCGAGAGGGGTCACAACAAATGCCGCAACAAATACAAATGCGACAACACAAAAAAAAGCCACAACAGAAATGACAGCGGGATTCTTATTTTAATGCAAACGCCGCAACAAATACAAACGCCACAACACAAATGCAAATGTCACAACACAAACGCCGCAACACATTAAAAAGCCACAACACATTAAAAAGCCACAACGGAAGTGACCTCGGGACTCTATTTTACGATGGACCGATAAAGCGGCAAGTGAAGAAGAAGAACTACAACGTGAAACGAATCATGATAAAACAATCAATTACTTTTACTTACGTTTCCAACTTCTCCGTTCCTTTACTTTTCACCTTGCAGTTCTTCTTCTTCACTTGCCGCTTGATCGGTCCGTCGGAAAATAGAGTCCCGCGGTCATTTCCGTTGTGGCTTTTTTTGGTGTGTTGTGGCTTTTTGTTGTGTTGTCTCATTTGTATTTGCTGCGGCCTTTGCATTTGTTGTGATATCTCGGTTTCTGTACATTACACCCCAATCACTCTGACCATTGCGAGCGGACCACATCATGACGCAGGTGAGCGCAGTGTGGAATACGGACGGATACATGCTGCGTGTGTCGTGTATCGGGAGTCGCTTTGGAGATGTGACTAAAACGTTTGATCTCGTATGTAGGCTTCGTAAGGTGAGGGTGTGATATGTCCACGTTTGGTAGTGGTTCTGTCAAGTGGGGGGGGGGGGGTGACTTTTTTTTTTTTTCTTACTGTTGGAGCGTGACAGAAAACAACTGAGAAGCACTGTAATACAGGAAGTGCTCCACTGTGTTTTTAAACTCCATACACCTTCACTAAAATCCTTTGGATCATTTCATACCTGGAATTGCTGATCTCTACTGAACAAAAGGTAAAATGTAGTTGTTAACTTGAAAACTACCACTACATGACATCACAAGGTGTAACAGAGCATTTTGAGCTGAGATGTAGACAGACTAATAATAAAGAGTTACTCAAACATGTGTGAATGAAACAAAACACAACTCCAGGTCTGTTTTTGAGGCAGTAACAGCATTATAACATGACTTAAAGCTGACAAGAGTTAATTTTAAGTACCACTGGACCTTTAAAAGTAAAAGGTGCAGTATGTAACTTTACGACACTGGCTTGTCTCCATGGAGATGTTTTTCTTTTACCTGGGATGTTCAACTTGAGGATGGCATGAATTTCAGAATTATGTAAAATAGAATTTTACTATAGCAATTAATTTAAAACAAGAAATATTATATGTTTTGAATGGTGAGAAGTCCTCCAAATGTCGCCTAGAACAGGAAGCTGAATCTAACATTTTAATACAGGTGTATTTATCGCTCAGTAATACCTTGAAAAAAACATTCTTCTTACTGTTAGTGTGGTCGCCTCTCCACAGAACTGACCTGGGGGTGTCACATGCTTGTCTTCGTTGAGATAGACAAGTTCAATGCCATAGTGTGTGTGACCTTAGGTTCCCTTCTATTTCAATAAATAGATAAATAAAACACAAAATAACCAAGGCCACAGGTAAGTGTGTCAAATAAAAAGGACAGAGACATGACTTAAAATGTATAATTAAAATTTATTAAAGACCATAAGAGGGGCAAGTAGAAATGTACCATAATTTATTCTATAAAGGAGCCAGGCGGAGGGATAAAATGATCAAATGGCCAAATTTCATAAAATGTACTAAAATAAGAATAAAACCTTGCAGCCCCTGGGCGGTTGTAACATTTATTTCTGAAAAACAGAAATAAATGTTACTTAACTTAACCAAACAAGCCCCACCCTGAACAAAACAGAAAGTGCTACCACGCAATCACATCAAAATAACTTGAATCCCAAAGTGCAAACAAAAAGGTACAGGCAAAACCCCTCCCAAGTACGACCCAGGAACTGAAACTAGAACTGAAACTAAAATCTAAAAGCACAGGGACGGCAACAATAAAACACACGTTTATTAAAAGGTGCAATAGAGCTAAAATCTACAAACTAAACAAAAACAAAACAAAACAGTAGCAGACCAACATCCTACGATAAAAGGACAGATTACGATTAATACCAAGGATTAAACTGATGTTAAAAACCCTGATTTAAAGGACACCTGTCCTACCTTAAAAATATAAATACTTGGGGGAAAAGGTCTGCCTCTGGTATAGTTTTAGCTCTACAACTATAAAAACCCATTAAAACCATTTTAAAAAGAGCTAAAATAATTAAAAAAGGAAGGAGATAGTTGAAGGCGGTGTCAGGTAAGTCCTAAAAAAATAAAGCGCGCCCCCTGCTGTCCGCCACATGTGCATCATTCAAGGCAACACCGTGAAGACAAGCAGGAGACCTCCACCAAAAAAGTTACATATTGCATCTTTAAAATAACTTGAATCCAGAATTATAATATAACAATGATCCTGATTTGGGTGGTTTTGATTTCAGAAACAGGCATTCTGTTTTTGTTTGTTTGTTTTTTGTTTTTTAACTCCTGTTTTCTTTTTCATATCTGAAGGAACATTTCTTTTGTTTTTTGTTTTGTTTTTTCTTTTAATTTGTTTCATTTATTTAAGATAAATATAAAATAATTAAGTTACATACATCAATGTGAATAAAAGGAGCAGAAAGAAGTATAGACTTGTAATATCTGCCTCCTTTTCAAACACAAAAAAACAGTAACGGTTCCAATGAAAATCTTAATGAAACTCTGTAACATGTTTTTTTTTTTTTTTTTTTTTTACTGCACCGAAAAGCCTTGGTGACGATGACTAAACCTTTTTTACAATATTATGTTACTTTATAAATGTTGGTTCTAAAATCATTTGGAGTCATAAGAATAGGTCACATGGAAATAAACAAAAGTGATCTGTTCGCTTCTTGGTACAATGCAATGCAGTTAGTATTTGTTTTATTTATAGATCAGTTTCTTACAGAAGCCGAGAGGGGTCACAGCAAACGCAAACGCCGCAACAAATGCAAATGCGACCACACAACAAAAAGCCACAACACACCAAAAAAAGCGGAAATGACAGCGGGACTCTATTTTAATGCAAACGCCACAACAAATACAAACACTACAACACAAACGCAAATGCCGCAACACATTAAAAAGCCACAACACATTAAAAAGCCACAACGGAAGTGACCGCGGGACTCTATTTTCCGACGGACCGATCAAGCGGCAAGTGAAGAAGAAGAACTACAACATGAAAAGTAAAGGAACGGAGAAGTTGGAAACGTAAGTAAAAGAAATTTATTGTTTTATCATTATTCGTTTCACGTTGTAGTTCTTCTTCTTCACTTGCCGCTTGATCGGTCCGTCGGAAAATAGAGTCCCACAGTCACTTCTGTTGTGGCTTTTTGATGTGTTGTGGCTTTTTAATGTGTTGCCGCATTTGCATTTGTGTTGTGGCATTTGTATTTGTTGCGGCGTTTGCATTGAAATAGAGTCCCGCGGATCATTTCCATTGTGGCTTTTTTTGGTTTGTTGTGGCTTTTTGTTGTGTTGTCGCATTTGTATTTGTTGCTGCGTTTGCGTTTGTTGTGACCCCTCTCGGCTTCCGTAGTTTATTCATATTTCTGTCCTTTTTTGGGTTAATCATCCATTACTTTATGTTTGGTTTGGTCTCATTTTTGGTTTAGCCTTAATGTAAGTCAAATTTAAGTCTAAGTTTTGATTTTGTGGCATATTATCGGTGGTTCTTTGCTGAAAAACGTGAGAACCACTAAACTAATCCACACTTCTCAAACCAAGATACATATTCTGAAATCAGCTCTGACGTTAAACCAGTGTACAACCTTAACATTTTTCCACTGTCGAATCACTCTCCATTGTAAATAAAGGATTTTAATTTTGACTGTGAGTTTTCACTTAATTTAATACTGTTTTGTAAGATTTATAGAAACGTCCTTCCTCACAGCTGTTCACAGGAAATAACAAAATGGACGACACAAAATGAAGATTGAGTTCTTGTTTGACCAGGGACATTTGAGTGGTACAAGGCCTGAGGCTCACAGCGCATCTGCTCCACTCAGAATAACACAGAGGAACAGTACAAACAAATAACACACGTTTGGAAGAAAATACACATTCACAGGTCAATATGGAGAACTATTATGCTTTATTTTGGCTTCATTGCAGTGGGTGAAATCATCCAAATCAACTATAATCTGATCAAAACAAGCTCAAGATCTGGAGATGGGTCCCTGGCCTCTGTACCTGTCATATCCACAATCACTGCTGGGAAGGTGACTTTTAAAATGTATTCCCCTACAGATTACAGATTACATACCCCAAAATGTAGTTTGTAACGTAATCCATTAAATTACTTAAAGTGAGTAACGTAATCTGAATACTTTGGATTACTTGATATTGTCATGCTTTTTAAAACTACATGAATGTACCAACCACATCCTGAAAATTCATTTGTTTGCTGTAGAATAGCAAAGACTAGGATTTTAAATGTTTTGTCTGCTAAAAGAAAATAAAAAGCCCAGACTTTCCTTAACCATAATAAAAATATTATTGATAGAGAAATGTTTATATGAGATCACTGCTGCCTCAAAGTATGTCCACCTACTGTTAAGTGTCATAATGTCTAGACCCGGGCTAGTCCTGGTTTAGTCCTGATTTTAGACCTGGTTTAGACCTGGTTTAGACCTGATTTAGACCTGATTTAGACCTGGTTTTAGTCCTGGTTTTAGTTCTGGTTTAGTCCTGGTTTTAGTCCTGGATTAGTCCTGGTTTTAGTTCTGGTTTAGTCCTGGTTTAGTCCTGGATTTAGTTCTGGTTTAGTTCTGGTTTAGTCCTGGTTTAGTCCCTGGTTTAGTCCTGGTTTAGTCCTGGTTTTAGTTCTGGTTTAGTCCTGGTTTAGTCCTGGATTTAGTTCTGGTTTAGTCCTGGTTTAGTCCTGGTTTTAGTTCTGGATTAGTCCTGGTTTTAGTCCTGGTTTTAGTCCTGGTTTAGTCCTAATTTAGTCGTGGTTTTGGTTCTGGTTTTAGTCCTGGTTTAGCCCAAAATGTGAAAACAGGACAATACCGCTGTGTAATCCATTTATTTCAACAAAGTAACTGTAATCCAATTACCACTCACTGAAACAGTAACTGTAACCAAATACAGTTACTCATAATTTGTACTCTGATTACGTAACGCTGGTACATGTAATCTGTTACTCCCCAACACTGTCCACAATGAATTCTCTCTAT